TGTAACCCCCCCGGCCGGCGAGCGGTTTTTAAAATTCCCTGCGGCGGGGGCCTGCAGTCGTCTCTTGGTGGGGGCCAAATGGAAGCATCAAGCTCCGTCTGGAGCCGTTTGTCTGTGCAGATGTGCTCGCGGAGGTTTTATCTGCTGAGAGCAGCACCTTGCTCCCTCCTCAAAGCTGCTGCTTCATAATTCCTCAGCGCCTCTACAGCTGACATGGTGCAATTTAAAGCCAGGCTGAGTGACGGGAGCTGTGTGGCGGAGGAGGCTACAGACAAACATCACTGACAAATGAGTGGCGGACCTAGAATTGGTCGTTTAATTTGAATAAATGCTGTTTTTATGTTTGTGTGGATTAGGAATGATTTACACTTCAAAACAGACTTTGATCGAAGTAAAGATAATTAAGTTTGCATTGAGTAAATGATCAAAGATAAGAAGAGAAAATACAAAAAACAAAATTGCGACGAGAACGTTAACACAGAATTAGCGCCATATTTGTAGGATAAAACTAACACCAATGACTGAATGTAGTTTAAATAGATGAAAGTTGATCAAGTTAAACTATGATTAAGCTTCAACATGGAAAAATGTTCATAATTCGTCCAGCTAAAATCACTAAGTTTGACAACATAGCAAAAGAGTTCAAAACAAAATGAAGTTTAGAATCACTAAAGTTCAGGATTTGCAAAATTGGATGAAGAAACATGTTTTTGTTTAAAAATAAAGATTAAACAGATTCAAAATAAAAAACAATAGCAAAGTAAATTAGCCAGGAAATAGCTAGCAGCTAGTTGTAGCATAGCAAATTATTATGTAATACCAGGCTCCAGACTAACTTTTTAAACCATTCATCTGAAATTGTCCCCAAATATAATTTGAACCGTCCCAACATGAATGCATGTCATATATAGCGTCTGTTAAGACATAATTACAGACATTTTGTGCCATTAATACCTGTCCAATCTGCGCCCTGGCTCTGAAACACACCAACTGTATTTAGGTTTGTTATGGTGGGTGAAGCCAAGAGTGTGTTGTTACCTTCGTCAACCTTCTCACTCCCATCTGTCCCGATCAGTCAGAGAAGGTGAAGCTGAAAACGAGAAGTGGGAACCTAGCCCACTTGGAATGGGTTCGGGTTTTCAGCCTCCGTACACCAAGACGACAGCAGCAAAGGTGGAGGAGAAGATGGTGTTTGTCTGATCCAAGGGCTGCCAGGAGGAGAAACCAATGATTGGCCAAGGTCAGGAGGAATAACACACAAACACACACACACACATATGCAGACTAGGGTTGGGCATCGGGAAAAGTACTATTTGATAAACATACTGAAATATGTATGAAAACAAATGTGCAGCAAAATGCTAAGTGTCTAACTAGCTAACTACTTGTTGTCGTAAACCAGTGACTCTCAATTATTTTCTGTCATGCCCTCCCTTGGAAATTGAAATACTATTTAGAACTTGATAACATGTACATTTTTATCTGTACAAACCACTGTATGAGTTGCTGCCACCTAGTGACTGGAGGCTTGTTATCATACAAGTATTACAGCAGTGGGACACTTATGTCCAGCATGCCATATTCCATTGGAAGTCCCTCACGCCCACCCTGGAACCTCACTGTGCCCCCCCCCCACCACCACCACCACCACGGGGACCCACCCCAATATTTGAGACGTACTGTGTTAAAGACATGACATTCGTCTGGGTCGTGGCTGAGACCAAGGATTAACAGAGTGAGACTGACGAAGGTGAGTGAAGAAATAAAGAGGAAACAACGTAAAAGCCTCAGTGAACGAGAGAACCACAGACGTACGACAGGAAATTCCTGGAGCCAGCAGAGGCAAGAAAAGAGTGTGTGGTGTGTGTGTGTGTGTGTATCGACACTCAGGCAACGAGAAAGGCTATAATTACTGCAGCAGCAGACAAAGATTAATTAAGTAGGAGAGGATCAGAATTAATGAGGTTAACACAAAAAGTGAAGCAGTCTTAAAAGAGACCTCTTGTAGCCAGTGTCCCAGTGGAGGCAGCACTGAGCACAAACATCTGTGTTAACGAGGAGGAAGCCAAAAAAAAAATAAAAATCAATAATGTCCTGGTGCATGGAAAGAAGAATTACAGAAAACCTGAGCTGCTGGATTCCAAGTTAAACCTGACTTTAAGGACGTTGTTGTTACTAGAAAGTGGGAAATAAAACCCGACTTTGGTGAAATGTCTTCCTGTCAGACATCAGCCTCAGGCTGCTGAAACTGCACTAAGCTGCACTTATGGAGTGAGTTAAACTCTGTATTTTCTACGAGTCACACCAGCCAAAAAATGCATAATGAAAAAAAAAACAAAACACCACACCAACAAAAGGATGAAAAAAAAAAAGTGACTTACAGGAATTGTTGTTAGAGCTGCCTGTTTTCCTGTCTTGGCTGCTGGATGGAGAGAGTGTGGTCACAGTCACCTGTGTCTCTGTCATTAGTCTAACTCATGTCATCTGGTGCCCTGGGTAACACAGACCTCTCTCCTTCACTCTGTCTTGGTGGAATCATTGTTTACATAAAATGTTTATACTTTTTCAAATATCTGTGTTAGAAATACCTAAAAGTTTTCTGAGAATTGAAAATGTGGTAGTGAAAACAGTTAAATATGAATTTACCTCAAGAACAATTTTGTAAAATCTCAGGAAAAAAAAAAGTGATACTTACCTACGTGGGTGGTAAATTATCAGCATTATTTCACTGGGAAACAAATTCATGATCAGTTCAGTTCGTCTCAAGGTGTAAACGAATGTTCTGTGAATCTGGAGTGAAGGGTGAAGATGACGTAAGAACAGCTGAGAGAACGAAGAGCAGGAAGAAGAACGTCTTCTGTAAAATCACATCATGCATGTAACACGTTGAACAAGTCAGGACTTCAAAATACTAAAATGAACAGAGGCGTACGAGGATACTTACAGGTGACGTCGTTTAATTGTAAACACCTTCATTTAGCATTACAGCACAGTGTACAAAAAAAAAACCAAGATGAAACGTCCGGTCAGGAAGTTAATTTGCTGATTGAAAGTCAAAAGTTAAAAACCTGAGATACACATATGCTTTTCACAGTACATTTAGAAAGTAAACATTAACTACGACCAGTCATGTGATTAACCTGGTTTAAATAATCTGAATCAGATTCAGTTGTAGTTCTGTCCTCACAGGTCAGATTGTTCTAGAAATCCTACCTCCATACCTCAAAAGCTTTGTTCGAGATTGTAAGAGTTGCTTCACAGTGCGACAACTAGTAATAAAATCTAAGAAAAAGACAATTATCACCTGAGCATTTCTTAAGACTATTGGTGTAACTGACGGACGTGCACCGCCGAAGACTATTGGTGTAACTGACGGACGTGAACCGCCGTTTAAACCTTGAAAATTCAAAGTATTGTGTGTGTGTAATGTGATTCCATTTTGGTTCTTTTTTGTGCTTTGAAAATTCAAAGTGATTCAATGAAAACACTTATTTTATATTGTCCCACATCAGCACCATATATGTACGTACAGAAAGGTACTTGAAAGAAAACATGCTTGACAAAATTAACTGTGCAAGTGCATCAAAAATGATGAATCAACAAACAACTCAAAACTTAGGCCAGAGTCGGTGCTGATTTCTCTGCAAAAATAGACAGGAACTGTTATCTGTCCATTAAATGCTGCTCTGTGACCCATCTTTCGGTCATGACCCGCAACTTGAGAAACACAAAAGCCTAAAAGAGTTCGTAATTCGTGTCAACATATTAAATAGTAATAGTCATTCAAAGTTTTCCCTTTTGTTTCAAATCAAACTCTAATATATATTTTTTTAACTACACTATTTAATTTTTTAAAAATAAAATATTTAAATGTTTAAACTTAATTTATGACATTTTTGTACCATCAGGATTACAAAAACATTTTTACATTTAAATAAGTCACAATAAAAATGTTATCCTTACTTTCATCATTTATCAGTGTAGATGCAGTTTGGTTCATGCTGGTGAAGATGAGAATCATGCAAACAACGAGCTTGTTTACGCAGATCAAAGTCACATATTATCAAATATTGTATTATGTATTAGAAAAACATGATTTCATTTTTTATAAAAATGTGGTATAAATCATGCAAAAGATTGTCAGGAGTTTTTTAAAACTCTAATGCTGGCTTTGTTTTTTTAGATATGTTTCGTCATATAGAAAATTTGTCAAAAAAAACTTCACATTTGTCTCTGTTTTCAACACAACTTTTCACCATTCTGCACATTTGTTCCTCATTGTATAACTCCATAAAGTCAAAGTCTTCGGGGGTCAAAGAGTATATTGCCGAGTAGGCGAGGAGTTACTGCCCCCTAATGGAGCTTGTGGTTGAGCCTAGCAGAAGTAGAAAAGTTGTTCCTGTAGCTTTAAGACGCAGGTTAGCTTTCTGTAAGCGATGGTTGTTGGGTTTACTGTCTGTAGAAGCAGTACAGTGGCAATAAAGGAGGTTCTCTTCATGTTCTCAAGTTCACTGCAGTACAGTGGCAATAAAGGAGGTTCTCTTCCTGTTCTTCTTCATGAAAAAAGTTCACTGGACTCCTGTAAGCTAATCTGTGGTTTGATTTGTGATGAAAAAATTGCATTGATGTTTCTCATAAGGGATAATTCAATGAACACATGTCCTCACTTCAGGCTGTGGCTGGTGTTTGATGTTGTTGTTTCACCAGTTTCCTGGTGTTTCTACACATGAGGGGAAATCGACAATTTGTGTGGCTTTAGCTATGGTTGATGGTGAAATGAAACTCGCTTCTTCCTCACTCATCTTGACATTAGGAAAACCACACAAACAATAAGGAGCAGAAGTTGCACAAATGTCATCCAGTTGTTGACAAAAATCGAAAAGGGACACACTTCATGTGAAGAGAGTTTGAAAACAAGAAAAAGAATTTGAGGATCCTGAAGTCGTTCCAAGTATAAAACTTTGCACTCTCACATTAACAGGTCACAGTTGGGTCAAGGAGACCACACGGCTGACCCTCACCCCTCTGGACTGAAAGTGCTGGTCTATTAGTGGAGGTTCTGGGCCTCATTGCTCCTTACAGCTGCTCCTCCAATCTGGACCCAGTTGAGTTGAACAGCAGAAATTAAGTCAGGAGCTAAATTAATGTAAATTTTTTTTTTGTTTCATTCCGTGTCTTCCTCAGACCACTCTCTGCAAGACGTAGAGAAAACCAATGCTGTCCACTGTGACGAAGGTGGAGAAGTCCGACGACACGTGGATCCTTTTGAGAGCGTTTCCCCTCGGGAAGAAAGTCTGCAAGGCCTCGCCTCGCTCCACATCCCACCACTGCAGACAAAGAGAGAAAGATCATTCTCAGTGTTTCGACACCAGGACCAACACATCAGTCATTTTGGTTGTTATTCCACTTTGATTTCTTCTTTTTCACTGAAACTGAAAGGAAGTCATCAGTGTTTATCAGTGAAAGTCCAATCTTCTGTTGGTCCCTCACCCCCCTACAGGCGGTTCTGCGTAATCTCGGCTTAAAGTTTGACATTTTCCCCCAAAGCTCCATCTCACTGTGATGACTCATCAAAGCCAAACAAAGTCCATTATTTATAGCCTGGGATTAATGTGAGTGTGTGTGTGTGTGTGTGTGTTGAGAATCTTTCTTGTGAGTTTTAGTTGTTATTTCTGAAGCTTTGTTAATAGCATAAAGATCTAAATTTGAGTATGACTAAAATAGATTTTAGAGTAGTGGTGGGCACAATTAGGACTTAACCTAAAATATAGGGAAAAATATATTTATATTATTATATATATTTTGCCATATCTGAACCCTTTACACCACATACTGTATGTCAAACACAAGGCCAATGGATCAAATCCAAACCACCTCATCATTTTATGTCTTAATTTTTTTTTGTCTTAAAAGTCTATTGTATAGAGTCTAATGTGTTCAAATTTGCTCTCTATAACATATGCATGGCACTTTGTTCTTATGCTTCTGTGAGTTTACCATTAACTACATCTCTCATAATGCCTGTTAGATTCATGACCTGCCTCGTTGCATTCTTGCTAATCACTAGACAATTCACTAAAACAGACAAACATTGTCCCCCATCTGAGACCTGTGAGCAATTTCTGACCCTTGAGTGATCGAGTTCCTGCTTTACACTGTGTGAACAGGACTTTAACTGTTGGCAAAATTAATATTACTATGTCCCTTAAAGAAAGACAGATGTAAAAGACAAGATAAAGGGGAAATTGATAGCGAGGCTGTGGTGATAAAACAAGGAAACAGACATAGTTTGGAGACCAGGCCAACTGGCTGTGAATAGCTGCCAACGCACTGTAAAGACAAGGAATACATTAAACTCAACCACCTGCAAAGAAATTCATTTCTGTATAAATATAATAACTAATAATAATAATAAAGAGAGAAATATAATAACTAATAATAATAATAAAGAAAGAAAAAAAAAGTGAAAAACAATTTGATAAAATAAAGCTTTGGGTGAAGGAAGATGAAATAACAACACAAAGTGTGTTTCTGAAAGCTGTGGCGAGGGAACACAGTTGGTATGTAAGAGCGTCCTCGGAGCAGACGCTGATGTGCTGATGTCAACAGGATCACCTGAGGACTTTGATTCATGACAGAGCTGCAGAGGCACGTAGACGCTAAACGACTGTAGAGTATGAACCAACATCCCTGAGACATCGCTGCTGCTGCTGCTGCTCGGAGGACAATACCCCTGGGTGTCTTTACTCTGTGTGTTTGTGCGAAAAACCATCTTAGCTTTTGTGTTCCTCACAGTAGCCAGAGCCACTTTCCTAACCACCAGTATCTTCTCTGCCTCCTGTGCTGCGGCTGCTGAAATTAAGTTGACGAATGGCAGGGACACAGAGCAGCCACGGTGTGTGCTGTACAGCGGAGGAATACTAATGGAAAAGAAAGAGACGTGGACCTGCAGAGACGTGGACCTGCAGAGACCTGACCGGATTAACGTGGATTAACAACCACAGGCTGTAGTTCTATACAGGAGGTAATCGCTTTACAACGTCCTCAACCTACGGTGTTTTGTGGTTACGTCGCCAGCTCCCATACGTTTTTTTAGGAAAGTATTGTTCCATCATGCCGATGTACGGGAAATAGTTGGCAAGTGGAATGGACGAATATGTTATCTGTTCTCATTTCCTTTTATTTTTCTTTTCTAGGCCTTTGTTCTTCCCCTTCTCTTCCTTGTGTATCTTTACTATTTTGATGCCCTTCTTCCAGGTTTTCTTTTCTGTTTATCTTTGTTCTCCAGTGGAACATACCTTTTCCTGTTCTTTTTACGTCCCTTTAGTATTTCTTTCCTTCTTTTATTGTTTTCTTTCATTCACTTTTTAACAGCTGGACTCTGTTCCACCCACCATCTTGCGCTCCTTCAGGGCAATAGTGGCTTGGTGGTTAAGGAAGCCGACTTGGTTCCGGAGGGTTTCGGGTTTGAGTCCACCAGCTGCCACTGAGCTGCACTGAGGTGCTCTGAGCATGGCACCGTCCCCACACACTGCTGCCCACTGTTCACTTTGGTGATGGGTTAAAAGCGGAGGTCACGTTTGGTTGTGTGCAGTGGTGAGCTGTGTCACAATGACAAGGAGTTCACTTTCCTTCCTTCTTAATTCCATCCACCCGTCTTCTCTGTAGATTTTCCACATCAAACATAATCCCTCTGTATATTTAACTACATCCACAATATCCACTTATTTTGGCAGAAGTAAAGACAGAACAACTGGTGACAGAAGCCCAGTGAACCCTTATCACATCCACCCGTGTGTGTCTAGATAAGCTGCCTCTCAGCGTCACTCTGATGGACACATGTGTCAAAAATCGTATCTACGAAAAGCCAGGATTAATTCCACATCCCAGTGTGTGTTAGGGTTCATCTCAATTTATTCATGCAAACATAGCAGCGGGGCCGTCACATCTCCTCAGACGGATCTGAAATTAGTTGATGGAAAATTACATAATGGAAACACCTGACCGTGTGTCCAGGGACCAGGAGACGCTCACATATGAGCCAGCCTGTAGTTTTACACAAGGATGGACAGGAAGTAATTCATCTTTCCTTCCTACAGAAATAGATCACGTTCGGAGACCAGCGGGAATTGCTACGGGTTCGACGCGGTTTTACGAGAAAACACAAGACTGGAGCGATGAACAGCGGGGAGGAAGGAGTGAAGGGATTAAAGAAGGAGGAGGCAATGGGAGGAGCAGATTCAGGAGATTTTGCAAGGGCAACCACTATTTCAGAAAGAGGTGAGGGATTTAGTGTTTGCTTGTGTGGATTTTTGTTTGTGGGTGTTAAGGCCAATGTGTCTCACTGTGAAGGAAACAGTTTGATACTGAATTATTCAAGGCTCCATCCACTGAAAAATTGATGATCAGACAATTAACAGCACGTTTTTTTGCCCTCTTTCTTCCCCCTCCCTTTTTTGCCCTCTTTCTTTCCCCCTCCCTTTTTTTTTTTTATAATTTGATCTATGTTGTCTTTTACATCTCTCTCACAATCTTCTCTTCTCTGTCAATCTATAGTGCCATAAAAAGAATAAAAGATTCAGCCTAGAAAGGAGATTAAGTGACACTGAAAGAGGGGAGAAAAAAAAACACGCTAGTGGGTTAAAAAAAGAGCTGCTGAGTAGGAAAAAAGACAGAGTCATAAAAGAAGAAAAATGATCATGTAAGAGAGACACAGAGGAAACTAATAAAGAGAACAGAAAGGGATGAAGCACAGACTAAAGCCTGGAAATAAGATTTGGTCGATATGAACCCAGTCAGTAAATGAAAAGAGGGTTGTGTTCACAGACCGACGCTGGTGTGACAAAAGACAAAAGACAAAAAAAAAAAGAAAGCTGTTATAAATGATGCTCGCTACATTTCTTTATTTGCCAAGCTTATGCTCAATGCTAAGCACTGAAAACTAGGTGATCGTAATTTAATATTTTATAGTGAAATCTTATGGGCGGCAATAAAAAAATGAACAGCCAGAAGAAGACATTAACAGAAATGTCAGAACAGAAGACTGAAAGAAAAACTTCACCTGTGAGAAATTAATTTGAATGGAAAACATTTGCTTACCGTGTCAAAAAAAAGTGATTTATCATGATTTAATAATTACAATACTCTTTTAAAATTTTAAAAATCCAAACCCATTTTTATCAAAGGCAAATGTTCCACATATCAGAACAACTGGAAAAAACTCAAGCTCTTCCACTGTTTTCAAAATTGTTAATATTGAAGTCACTTTTTAGCTTGCTTGCTAACAGCAAAACCACACGGTACAACTGGTTTTGCTGAGTGGACAATAATAAAGAGCTTTCTTTTCCACCACCAACATAAAAGAGATATTAAAATGAGTAAAACATACGAGCAAAAAATGAATGAGAAAAAAATGAACAGGAAAAGAGCTGATGTAAGAGAAGGCAGTTGTCTCTGATCACCCATCTTCCTTCTGCTTCATTTTATATTCTTGCCATTGGCGTTCACATAAGTGCACACACACACACACACAAACTTATTCTTCAGCCAGAAAGACTATTAACCCTGGCTTAATGAGCAGCGGAGGGGAAACAACTGCCTCCCAGAGACAGATAAATATTTCACCACCCTGTTTTTATATCCGACAACAAGAGCCCAGAAACCAGGCCAAGTTCACGGCACGCTCAACTCTCAATGCTACAACTTTCTTTTCCTCGTGCAGGAGGGGAAAAAACAAAAATGTAAATGTGGAAGCAAAGTCAAGGAAATATGGAAAAAGAATTTCTGCCGCAGATGAATTTGGACCTCACAAAGACGAACATGAAGAAACCAGGAGAAAAAGATGGTTAAAAAACCAAAGAATGAAACAGAAATACTGGCCCTCCTCTGTATCTCAGTGTTTGTAGTTATTTTTAGAGGTAGAATGCGCTGCTATGGTGAAACAGCAACGTCGGATACTTACATCTGACAGAGTGAAGTGAGGAAAACAGTGACTGCCGTGCAACAGCACAGTGTCATGTGGATACAGCTCCGTTTTACTTTAACTCCGTTTAAAGTAAGATTGTGCAATCTTCTCCCTGTGGTGGTTCACTTCAGAACATAATGTTTTTCTTCCGAATACTGCATAAAGGACTGGAGTGTATTGACGTATTGTAAGGATCTACGTCAGTGCCATGCAATTATACGGTACATAAAGTTGGGCAGATTTTTAAAACAAGAAAGTCAGGTGGGCCAGAAACTTTCAGAGGCTAAAAAAGTTAGCATAACAAATAATGTATTGAAAAAAAAAAAAAAACTTTTCTTACTTTGCAAAATAAACACATCCCCA